ACATAAAGATTTTACTCTCTGCAGTACATCAGCACAAACCAGAATATGTAATTTTTTTTCAGGGCCAACATTTATTTCAGAGCCAATATTTATTTGAACCATTTAATTGACAAGTTTTTAAAGACTGTTTTGTGACTCTGGTTGGAAAAGAAAATTCACAAAAATGATGCCACAATTTTTTATCTAAAACTGGATTGAGGAGGTAAATTAACCAGTAAATTGTTGCTTCACTAAGTGTATGAATCAGGTTGTAAAGTGTATATCCTGTTTATTTGTAAAATGCTGCAGTATTACTGTAGCTGGCAGTCTGCACAGTGATTAGTGAAGAGGGATGTCAATGCTAGAGAGATTCTAATTGTAAACAACTGGAACAGCTGGTCAATTGGGATTTTGCGAGTTCATTTTATATTATGGGAGATATCTTGGAAGTTTTATTGACCTTCCAGTTGAGCTGATATTGCTGTGAAAATATGTCAGTCTTATTTTTGCTGGGTTTGGTTTTAGGTTAATTCTGTGGCTAAAGTAAATTAATAATTGTGATAATCTTTTTCTGCATAAACTGTGAAGGGATGTTGTTTTTTAAATCTCAGTCAGGACTGGGCAGTTCTTCTATCATGAATCAGCCTTCCTTTGAACACTGCAGAGCACTCTCATTTGAATGATATGAAGCAGGAATCTGGCCCTCTTGTTAAACCTCATGGCTAGTTAATGCACTAATAAAGCAAACATGTTTGTTTTCATATGTGAAGGTTTGACTTGATGCCCGTGTAAATATAATTGTTTAATTTATTGATAAAGTGCCTAATATGTCACTCCTATGCAGTTCTGGTGACTACAGTGTTGGGGGTGTTGTGATTCCACTCCGAGTTTTCACTTTCACTTTTCAGGAATTATCTGTGATACTGAGGCTATTTTGGAAATACATTTCAGCACCTCAGATAGCTCCCATGAAGTGTGGACTAAAAACTGGAGTGGATTCACAGCACCCCTGAAACTGTCCCAACAAGCCACCGCTGCCTGTGTACTCTGTGTCATAGTCTTTAGTCCTACTGAATGCTCAATATTCATTAATACAGACATTTGAAAAAAAAAAACCATGAAATCAGGGTGATGTCTTATTTTGATATTTAATTTCTTATTTTGGCTTCCACAAGAGCTGAGGAAAGAGGTAATGGCCCTACCTGGAAGTCAAAACCGTCATGTTCTCCCTTGTGGTGAGGCTCATGGCAGAACGTATGTCTACCACATCTGGCCTAACGTTTGTTCTTTTCTATTTGTTCCCATCTTTCTCCCACCTTTTGCTTTATTTTTTTTGTGCCACATCCATCTTGAAAAAGGAGTTCTAGAGAACTCAAAAGCTTGCGAATTGTTTTATGACACCTCCAGTGGCTGCCTCCACACCGAGCCAGCGCGAGGGCTCCGCTGTTTTTAACCATCCCCTACCAACCTAACAAGTTCAACAGGTGTAGTTTGGCCCGTCGCTACCTTCCCGGGCTAGGAAGAGGTTTCATTTGTTGAGGGTGTGCGCGCGACGAAGGAAGGAGCCCCGTTATCCTGGCAAAGCGTCGACTCTATCGGTTGGGGTTGTGACTGAAGGTGAGGAACGAGCACCTCAGTATCAACCTTTACAAGTCCCTGGACTGAATCTCGACGCCAAAATGTGTGTGTGTGTGTGAGAGAGAGAGGGGGGAGGGTGAGGAGATTGTGGAAGCTGAAGCCCGTGGTAAGCCCCACGCTGTGCGGGCCGCCTGTGAAGGCACGTTATTCTCGCTCCAGCCATGTTAATCCCGAAGCCGGGAAAGCGGCGCTCGAGCGCCTGGGAGCGCGCACGGCTCTCCCCAGAACTTCGCCCAGCGGGACCTCGACCCGGTTTTGTTTACATGCCCTCCCGCTGACACGTTTTTCTGGAAGCTGAAGCCCGTGGTAAACCCCACGCTGTGCGGGCCGCCTGTGAAGGCACGTTATTCTCGCTCCAGCCATGTTAATCCCGAAGCCGGGAAAGCGGCGCTCGAGCGCCTGGGAGCGCGCACGGCTCTCCCCAGAACTTCGCCCAGCGGGACCTCGACCCGGTTTTGTTTACATGCCCTCCCGCTGACACGTTTGCGGGGCGACACCGCTCGCCGGAGCCAGGCTTTCGGTCCCCTCCGGCCGCGCTCAAATCTGTGTGCGTGTGTTCGTGTGTGTGTGTGTCTGTGCGTGCTCGTCGTTTCTCTCCCCAGCTTCCTTTTTCACACTCCCTTCGGTCAGCAGCACGAGGGGCTGGAGATAAAAAAGAAAAGTGACGCGCGGGAGGGGGGGGCGGAAAGAAAAAAGGGAAAGTAAACGCCGGAGGCGGCCAGCAAAGAGCGGGAAAAGCGGGGTGGGGAGGGGGGGAGAGGAAGAGAAAGAAAGCGCGTCTCTCTGTCACGGGCGCGAGAGCGCGCGCACTCTAAGGCGCTCTGGCAGCGGCGGCGGCGGCGACTTTGCTCTTTAAATTGGTCTCCAAGCCGATTACAGTTGATCTCCCACGTGATATTTCCCCTTCTGGCTCCTGGCGGTAGCGGAGTGCGCGAGTGCGTGTGTGAGAGAGAGAGGGGGGGAAAGGGGGGCTTGCGCACAGGAGGAGGAGGAGGAGGAGGGAGAAGAGAGAAGGCACCACCGAGCGAGCTTGGCGCCAGGCTGATCTCGGGGAGAGGCTCGCGTGGGAAAACGCTCCTCGCAGAACTTTTGTTTTTTAAAATCTTTTGGTGGGCCAAGGGGCGGCGAGGCTTGGCCAGGAGACCAGGGGATGCGCCAGGCGTCCTTGAGGAGGCTGGAGCCCCTCCGGGTGGAAGTGGAAGAGCCCCGCGGGAGCCCAGGTCTCCAGTAGCGCCCAGGGGCCGCGGCAGCCGCCCCGGGCTGAGGAGAGCGCCGCGCGGGGGGTCTCCAGCGGTGCGTCTCGGGAGCCGCTGCTCGGCGGGCTTGAGCGTTCTTGGCTCGCCTCGTCTGCGCGGTCAGGAGAAGCCGCACTCATGAGGCGCGCCGGCGGCGGCGGCGGCTGTTGGACGACGGGCTCCCGCTGAAGGGAAAAAGGCGGCGAGGGGGGGGGGGGGGGGGGGAACGCCGGGCA